AAATAAATGGCACTGAAAAAAGTGACCTATGACCAGTTTTCCCAGTTACCATTGTAGCATCTTCATGGACACATGATCAAAATTTAGTGCTCTTAGCGACTGGCATGTATTTGACATTTGTACTGTCTTGAGGTCATTGTACCCTTCCCAGAAAACTTTCAACAAGCAAAGTCAATAGGGAAAGCCAGATTTGCTTAACAACTGCATGCTTCACATAACAACTGTAATGATTCACTTAACAACTGTGGCAAAAAAGTCATAAAATGGGGTAAAACTCAGTTAAAAACTGCCTTGTTTGGCAATGGATATTTTGGGCTAAATTGTAGTCGTAAGTAGAGGACTATCTCATACAGGCAGTTCTCGAATTAGGACCACAATTGAGCCTAACATTTATGTTGCTAAGGAAGACATTTGTTAAGCGAGTTTGTTTCATTTTATGGCTTTTCTTGCCAGTTAAGTGAATCATTGCATTTGTTAAGTTAGTCACACGGTTGTTATGTGAATCTGGGTTTCCCATTGACTTTGTTTACCAGTAGGCCGCAAAAACTGATCACAGGATACAGCAACCATCATAAATATGCCAAGCATCTGAATTTTGATCATGTGATCACAGGGATGCTGTAACGGCCATGTGAAAAATGGTTATAAGTCACTTTTTTTTCAGTACTGTTGTAACTTTGATCACTAAATGAATTGTAAGTTGAGGACTCCCTGTATGTCTTCTTCCAATCAATTTACACTAGGGTAGGGGTGTCAAACTTGTGGCCCACAAGCCAGATGCGTCACAAGCTGGCCACACCCACCCCCAGTTTAGCGAAGGGGAAAAAAGTTACAATATGTGTGACATTGCCAACATGACATCCTAAGTTTGACAGTCCTGTTCTAGGGGCAGTTCATAAGTAGAGTCAACATACAAGCTGATCAAAAACTGCCCTACCCAACATTTAAAAGCAGTGGGATTTTTTTTTCTAAAAAAAGAGGAAACGAAAAATCCAAGCTTAAAAGTTTTGAAAGTGTCACATAATTTAACAATCTGGATGCTCTTCAAACCTGAATATTATAGTCTTTACACCTATTTTAACACAGCCTTGGAAATTGCAGATGTGATTCGCTTTTGGAAGGTGAAGGAATAAGGAGGACTATTGCTCTGATAATAGCCTGGAGAAATTTCCAGTTTCGGTGATCAGCTTTTCCATGTAGGCTGGGAAAAGAATCTTATGCCCTGGAAGGACACTTATGTAAGCACCATTTCTCAATCCATGCTACTTGCACATTTGTGGTCGTCAATTCTCAGAAATCCCCAGCCAGCACAGCCACTGCTGACATCAAGGATTGTCGTTTGCAAATCTGGAAGTGACTAAGATTGGTGTGGACAGTGATGAGCTACTACACGAACCAGCAATCTCACACTGCGATCTGGTTTTTGCACATCCAGTCAGCCATAAGCAGCCTTGATTGATTGGTTTGGTTTTTGGTTCAGAGCGCTACATAAACTGGGCTTTGTAAACCACTGTTGTGGTTTAATATGCTTAAATCCAGGCAAATATGTTTTCTTCTAATAATCATAGTTTAGAAGGTTCTACAAATGAAATTTTATAGAGAGAGCTGTTGTTGTCCTGAACTGGGACGAAGATAAAGGACAGGAAAAACAAAATATTTTGGTCACACCTAAATAACCAATTAGCATGTTAAACATCAGAAGGGGAGGAGTTAGATTTGATAAAAGGTGAGAGGTTGTGAAAATTTCAAGATGTGAAATTTGAGCAAGAACACTTAATATCTGGCAATTTTTACATATTTTCTGTCCAGTTATATGTATTTAATTTTGGGGGTTCCATTTTTTTAAAAAATAAAATTTATTCAATTTTCAAAGGTTTTAAAAACATAAAATTACACAGTTGTGTCAACATGAAGACATCATTTATATTGCCTTGTCTTATTTCTATACATACTTTCTTATTACATTACAATTACATATACTTTTCCCTATTATTAGAAATTTATATCACATATTTTCATCATGAATTTCTATTTTCCCTATATTAAATATATATTTCCTATACTTTACTTAATTGCTACATTGATTTCTTTGTATTCTTAAGCCATGCATACCAGACGTCCCAGACTATATATAGTATGTCAATTTCTCTTTTAGTTTAGAATCAGCCTGTCCATCTCTGCGCAGTCTAATATTTTCTTTATGACTGCTCCCTCTGATGGTATATTTCCGTTTCCAAAATTGTGCGTATGAGATCCTAACAGCAGTTAATATATGTAACACAATATACTTATCTTTTTTACTGTATTTCCTTTGTTATACCTAATAAGAATGATTCTGGTTGAAGTTCAATGTTTTGTTTTATGATTTCTTTTAACCACAGTCGAATTGTATTCCACTATTTTTTTTAACTTCTGGGCAGGTCCACCACATATAAAAATAAGTGCCCCTTTTTTTCTTACACTTTGAACAGTTTGAATTTTGATTCACATACATTTTTGTTAGTCTAGCGAGGGGTAGGTGCCATCTGTAAAACATTTTGTACGTTTTCTCTATATGCTGTAGATATAGACAATTTATAATTTGTTCCCCACATTCTTTCCCAGTGTTCTACAAATCTATATTGTATCCAACATTTTTCATCCATACTACCATTGTTTCCTTAACTACCTCCTTTTCCATCTTAAAATCTAAAAGGAAACTATATTTTCGATATCTTTTTTTCTGTTCCTTGTAGGATTCCATCTAATTGTTGCTTGTCCAAATAAAATCCATATTCCTCTTTATCCTTTTTGTATCTTGCCTGTACTTTCATATATGGCCACCAGCCTATATCTATATTTTGTTGTAACCAGGGGTGGGATTCAACTGATGTTACTACTGGTTCAGTGACTAAGTTTTGCTGCATTCGCATGTAAAAAAACCTTAAGCTGTGCTGCCCAGACAGCTGAAAAGCACTGCGTGTGGATGTGCAACATTTGAAAAGCCCTTTTTCCTGCTTTTTCAACCTCATCTGTGCCACATAAAGCAGCTGAGGTTGAAAAAACAGGAAATAAAGGACAGGTAATAGCAGCACACACAGAACTGGTTTGGTGTCTGCTGTTTTTCAGAGCTACCGGTTCTATAGGGCCGGGCAGAACCGGTTGTGCTGCCCCTGGTTGTAACTCTTGTATAGTTTTTAATCTTCCTTGTTCATCTAATAAATCTTTGTAATTCCTCATTTTCATCAAACCCACTATGTTCAGATAAATTCCATGGTTGACAGCCAGCCTGGTATTTTAGCATAATGGTTCTTCTTAATTTTACTCCATATTTGAATTAATGTGTCTCTAATTAAATGGAAATAAGAATGTTGCTTGTTTTTTCCATCCCATAAGAAACTATTCCACCTTCTTTGCAGATCATGGCCTTCTGTTAACAATATTCTTTTACTTTTTTAGATTGATCCAGTCTTTAATCCGTAGCATAGCTAGTACCTGGTAGTACACTTCCCAATCTGGGAATCCAAAGCCACCCCTTTCTCTCCTATCCTGCAAGTTTCATTTTTATTTTAGCTTTTTTTTCATGCCCAGACAAAATTGGTTATTATTTTATCCTTTTTAGAAGAAAATAAACAGCAAACATTGGTCCAGAATCTATGGGATACCACAAAGGCATACATAAGAGGTTTAGCAATTGCATATATTGCACGTAGACTTAAAGAAAAGAAAGAAAAACAAACCAAATTACAAAACACGCTCACGGAAATAGAAAAAATATTACAAAAGGAACCACAGAATAAAGCAGTAAATGAAGAAAGAGCTATGATCAGATACAAACTGAATATGCTGATGCAGGACGAATGGATAGAAAATATGAGAAAGATGAAACAAAACTACTTTGAACATGTGAACAAGGGAAGGTGGCTAGCCTATAAATTAAAAGAAAGAAAGGAAAGATCAATCCAACAGTTGAAAAATGCTAATGGTATTTTACAGCGTCAAATGGAAAAGAAAAAACATACCGCTAAAACTTTCTTTGAGGAACTGTATAGGCGGGAGGACATAATAGAAAAGAATATTCAACAATATTTAAAAGGGAAAGAGCTAGCTACAATCCCAAAAGAAAGCGAGGAAGTGATGAATAAAGAAATAACGCAAAGGGAACTTTAAGAGGCGATTCAGAAGCAAAAAAATAATAAGACACCAGGACCAGATGGTCTCCTGGGGGAGCTATACAAGACACTTCAAGAAAAATCAGAAATACAACTGTTAGAATTATATAATGAGGCTTCAATGACAGCGAACTTAACTAAATCGTGGGAAGAAACATACATAACATTAATTCCAAAAGAGGATTCAAACCACCAACAAATTCAAAACTACAGGCCCATATCATTACTAAATGTTGATTATAAGATATTTATGACCATAATGGCAGAAAGACTTAAAGGAATATTAAACCAAATTATAGACAGAATTACAATGGATTTTTGCCGAATAGACAAATTATAAATAATACCAGAATGGTAATGAATGTATTAGAATATTATGAGGCACACCCTGGAAAGCAAACAGCACTGGTTTTCCTGGATGCACAAGAAGCATTTGATAATGTTAATTGGCAGTTTACTACAAAGCAACTAAAAGACATGGATTTTGGTGATAAATTTACTAAGATGATTTCAGCAATTTATTCGACCCAGATTGCTAGTGTAATATTAAATGGAGACAAAACAGAAACATTTAAGATTAATAAAGAAGGCAGGGATGTCCATTGTCACCCCTACTCTTTATCCTCACAGTAGAAAACTTACTGACAAATATTAGAAGAAACAAAGAAATTAAAGGGGTTACAATTAGAAAAGATGAATATAAAGTACAAACTTTTGCTGATGATATGGTATTTTTCTTAAAGGACACGGAGGAAACTGGAATTTTTGGGGTTCCATTGACCCTCCTAGCAGAATCATATCTGCCATGATTCTTAAGAGAGCATCATTATTATCAATTGTTAGCTGATGTGATAATGTACAAAACTTTTAATGGCAATTATGTTTTTTATAGAATGGAAAAACTGGGAAATAGTCTTTTAAAGATGGAACTACCAGATTCCTGAAGAATAAAGGTATCAATCATTCTTATGTGTGACATAGTTTATAACAGGTGCTAGGGACTATAAGGACATTCTGCTCATATCCTGCTTGTGTGTTTTCCAAAACATTAGAGAAAATAACATAGATGTGGCTAGGTTTTTTGACGCCAAATGGCTTGTATTTTTAATCACTGTTATTACAAATATCAAAAAACATCAAAGGCATACATTCTTTAATAATTATAATTGTTACAATTCAATAATCAATTATAATAGTTAAGACATAACAAGGGACTTCAAAGGAATAATTTAATATCTATTAATACATATCTCTTAAAAACATTTTTCTTTAACTATAAATATATATAAACTAGCAGAGACTTTGCAAATATACAAGCAAGGAAACTAACTCCTGGTTAGAAAAAGTAGCTAAAATATACAAAATATAAATTGTCAAATTTTGGATCCAGATTCTTGCCCTGTGATTGGTACATATGAAAAAGCTTAGCTATAAAATCAGACCATGGAGGTAAAGAAAACTGAGACAGCCTTGGTTGATCTTTTCAACTGTATGTTTAGCTATAGTTCTTTCCCAATAAACTTCAAGCTGCCCCTCTGATAAAACGGCCAACTCCAAATTCCATAACAAGCAAGGTTGACTGGGAATCATGGGACTTATGACCCAAAAGATTCCGAAGGCTTCCATATAGGATGGAGCCCAAATAATGCCTGTGAAATGGAACTACAATATAGAATTTAACGTTGAATTGGCTTATCTTGGCTTAAGCACTTAAAATATTTTGGAACTCAGACATGAATAGTAAATTATTGCTTGTCATTAAGTGTAGTAATGAGGGAGAGAGAGGAGAAGAAAAGTATCTTACAGTATTGGCTGCTGCATTTTAAATGTACATTTTGTTTAATCTTAATAAGTAAATGTGCACGTCAGTGTATAAACAAAATTATTGAAATTTCACGACTTTCCCAATCAAAAGAGGTAGTAGTAGTCGTAGTAGCAGCCACCTAGTATTGTATTTATTCAGAAAACAAATGCCTTGATATTTTTACTCATGTTACTCCTTCATATACTCAACCACATTCTTATCTCATCCATAATGTTTTAGCCCAGACTCAACCTTACTACACTATATCACCAGTCACCAGTTTGAAATTGCTTGAAACTTATGAACAATGAGGTTCTAATTCACACCACCCTTTAAAATACCAAACAGAAGAAGAGCAAAAGCAATGATGTTCTTCTTTTAGTGATGGAAAACCCAGACCAGAATTCCCCCAGAATCCTCAACTTCTATGTGTCAGTCAGTTGTTATTTTTATCTGAAAGAGGCTTTTCATTCCTAACTCTGGAATCCCAATTCCTCTTTTCTGGTGGAACTGGAACCAAGGGGAATGTTGTCAGCGGCTTCTTCCAGAACAGATTTGGAAACCCCATGGATCTTCTTCCAAACTTTGTTCCGATGATCCTCCGTGAAGCAAGGCTCCAAGATGGCTGCCATTTGAGTGATTCTTCGGTGAAAGCGGCAGCGATCACGAGCCATTTCCTCCCATGGGCCCCGACGGGCAGCCCGAGAGGCGTAATCCCAGACTACTAGTGAGTGGACAGTGACCACTGGGGAAAATCGGACCTAAGGATGAAGGAAAGAAGATGTGAGCTAATTAGGCTGGTATTTCCAGGCGGGTGCTTGTTGCTCTAAATCAAGTACAAAATTCTATTATATTATACCACACACTCTTTATCATATTTATTAGATTTTTATCTAGCCTGCACAAATTTTCTCTTATTTTCTCTACAATGATAACCCAGTGAGGTGAGTTGGGCTGAGAGAGTGATTTGCCCGAAGTCATCCAGCCAGCTTTCATGCCTAAAGCAGAACTAGAACTCACAACCTCCTGGTTTCTAGCCAAGCACCTTAACCACCATACCAACTGACTTTAAATCTAATTCAGGTCTAAACTAATGTTTTTCTTGTGGTTTCTTCTTTCCTAGCTTCCTCTTCTCTTTTTTTCTTCTCCTACTTTTCTTCTTCTCCAGCAGATGGGCAGGGCAGGGCTCTGGGTCTCTCCATATTCACATGGTTATCTGCCAAGAACTTCCCACTTCATCATACTGGTTTTACATTTAGGCACTCCCAACTTGCAAACTTATTCAGGGTCCTCCAAGTAGTATAAGGAAAGTCAGATCCTTCAGGCATATTCTCCTTTAATGTTATTCTCCTTGCTTGATGGTCTCCTTCCATCTTTTAACTAGAATTTGTTCTTTAGATTTATGTACATAGTTGTTGGATTGAGATTTGTGGAAACTCGAGTTCCAAACCACCTTTAATGGTCAAATTCACAAGGTGACTTTAGGCTAATCATTTCTCACCCCAACTATTTCACAGGACTGTATAAGGATACAAGAGAAAGCAAAAATACTTTGTATGTTCCCCTGATGCTTTATAAGAAAAGAGGGAAATAAAAAAAAGACATTTGTTCCTTTGAATCATTTTAGGTGGTTTCCCAACAGTTCTGACACTATTTCTTCTCAGCCTTTTCATTTCATTTTATCCCTGCAATAATCTGAGATTAGACTATATTCCATTTTTCTTCTGGGTGCAGTGCAAATCAAATAATTTCACTCTCACAACAGACACATGAAATCTGGTGAGCTAAAAGGTAGCTACTGGCCTCCAACACCCAGGAATCCCCACAGGGTTCACTACCATAATTCACGATCAACACCCAAGTTAATCCCTCACCATGTCAGTATATAAGGGTGGTTGAACTTGAATGTCTTTTTAACTTTTGCCTTAATGAAAGCGAGGCTATTTCCCACTCACAATCTCCACCTTTCAAAAATTATTTAAAAACAGAGGGCCAGCCCAAGTTCAAATAAAACTGTCGGGCTTGTGTGCTTGCTATTTTTCATGCTCTTCTTCAAGGGTTTGTGCATTTAGGGTCGTTAAATAAGGACAGAATTTGTGTCTGTGGACTTGTGCAGAAGTGCTAAGTAAGGCAAAAACGAAGTAGAAAACATAGCCAGGAACCTTCATTTTTTATTTATAATAGGCAATCTCTTAAAGAGAGGTAGGGAAATGAGTCTGCTTGACTGGGAAATGTCCTAATCTTACATCATGTATTTTCTTTGTAACAGACTTGTGATTCATAGTCAGGGACAATTAAACAAAAAAAAGATGAACTCCATTGCTTCCCAGTTCAGGCACTGATCTGGTGACTGTAAATTAATCATGTCACATTACATGAATCTTCTTCCTATTTGCCTTTCCACAGAAGCGCACTCAATTGGAGCTGAATTGCCTGAAATTACTGAATGGGAATGGCATTTTGTGAATGATAAAACACTTTACCTTTGCTTCCTAAGACATTCAGCCCTTCATTCTTCAACATGTTCTTTGAAGAGAGTCCTCCAACAGTCTAATCCTAACACCTCTTCAATAAAATATTTTTGCCTCTGGCTGATAAAATACACAATACTTTCATGACTACTGTACAGGGAATCCTCCACTTACAACAATTCATTTAGTGACCGTTCAAAGTTACAACAGCACTGAAAAAAGTGACTTATGACCGTTTTTCAAACTTACAACTGTTGCAGCATCCTCATGAACATGTGATCAAAGTTCAGATGCTTGACAACTGATTCATATTTATGACTGATGCCTTGTCCGAAGGTCATGGGGTCCCCTTTTGCGACCTTCTGACAAGCAAAGTCAGTGGGGAAACCAGATTCCCTTAATAACCAGGTTACTAACCTAACAGCTGCAGTGATTCACTTAACAGATGTGGCAAGAAAAGTCATAAAATGGGGCTACACTTACTTAACAAATGTCTCACCTAGCAATGGAAATTTTGGGCTCAATTGTGGTCGTAAGTCGAGGAGTACCTATATTTATTTCCAATAAAATGGACCATACAGCCTGGGACCTGGTTTATTTGAGAGGTTATCTGTAACCTATAGCAGGGGCCTCCAACCTTGGCAACTTTAAGACTTGTGGACTTCAATTCCTCAGCCAGCAAAGGAAAGCTGGCTGAGGAATTCTGTAAGCTGAAGTCCACAAGTCTTAAAGTTGCCAAGTTTGGAGACCCCTGTCCTATGGTATCTTTCTGGCTGATCTGGTCTGACAGGGTTCCTGTGCTCCAGGTTTCTCCTGTTAAACAGTGTTGTCTGTTGAGACCCCAGTAGCATGCCTTCTGTATCTAATTGTTCTCTATAATGAGGTTTGCCCCAAGATCCAAGTGGCCCACACCCAACTGGTGTTTCGATGGACCCCCAAAAAACTGATTTTTCACCCAGACTTTGGGCAACTAGGATTAAAAAACCCTTTTTCTTCCTTTTCTTTGTTCCCATCTGGGTTATTTTTGCTATTTTGACTCTTTTTTTTACTTTTATGTTGTTTGCTTGTTTTGTTTTTCACGTTTTGTAAACCACCCAAGATAACCAAGAGTCAGTCGGCATATTATATAAATAAATGGAGCAAAAATCCCCACTTTTAATCTCTGCAAGAAATTCAACTGATGCAACTTTGCTCACTATTGTACTGCTTCAAAAACAATAGCTCAACACCACTATGTATCATCTCTATTCTTCATCATCCTGGTGAAAATAGTTTAAAAAAGCATAAACATTTTCTCAAACATAATCATGTGGGCAAGTCTAAATTTCAATCAGTCATGGCCAAGAGCAGAAATACAAGTGTTCATGGCTCCTAATTAAGGAGACACAAAAAACAAAAAAAAATAAAACAAAGGTGGATTTAGAAAATCCTCATTCCAAACACATTCAGAAAGCACACATAAGTATTTTAGGACTCTCACCTTCTTTTTCACTTGGATTTCCTGCTGTGAACCTTCTTCTGCAGGGAGAGAAGTGTTTTTCCTGGCACTTGGTTGGCAACATAGGTAGGTCTCTTGATTTCTTTCAACTTTTTGGTCTTTGGGCAATGGCTGCTTTGGTAGATTACATGATTCTTCAAGTTTAGAACTGGTTTTTGTCTGACTAGAAAAGACAATAGTTTCTTGATGGTTCTTGGGCTTTGGTGAAGCAAAGTCTGTGAGGTCCTGAACGGGTTTGGAAAAGCAAAGTGGGTGGGAGAGATCACTGTTCATGGATAGAACTCCACAGAGATTCTCAAAAACAATCTGCTGTACAGAGTCCTCCTCTTCTACTTCCTGATAATTTTCTGTGTCGCCTGAATTATTGCCATCAGAGCAAGTTTGGGTCTTACTACTCTCTTCCATCCCATCCTCACTCCACCAGTCTTCTGAACTGTCATCGTTGTCATCTTCTTCATCTTCTACTGGACTGTAGAATAAGGAAAGTACCAGGGAACTTTGGAAGCTATTGGGGTTGGTAGAGGATTCCATGTTGAATGTATCTTCATTCTTTCCATTCTTTTGCTTCATTTCTGGCTGTTCCTCATCATTTGAAGAACCAAGTGAACATATTAAGTTTTGTTTTCCACATATCAGAGGATCTTGGTTAGATTTAGTGTTCTTCTCCAGTTCCTGGGGAACCATGGTGGTTTCCAAAATTTGATCAAAGCACTTATTAAAATTTAATTGTCCAATAGGATTTAAGCAGTTCAAACTATTTTTCAAACACCCAGAGAGGTCCAACTCTTCTTTAAAGATTTCAGGATTGTAAGTATCTTCCAACAACTTTGGGGAGTCATGCTCAGAACTTTTTATAGTCACACATTCTATGTCTTTTCCTGAAGAAGCTTGCCAATTATTTATCAAATCAAATACTATCGTAGGATTAATTAAACACAGCTCAGAAATCCCTTCCTCTTCCAAATGTATGTTATTCACTGCAATGCTGCTTGAATGAATCAAAACTTGTTCAATGTCTTCCCCAAGAGAGTCATCTGTAACCAAGCTTCCCTCCAAAAGATAGTTTATATGACTCTTCAGAGAATAATGTTCTTGACAGTTGTCTTCCTCCATCATCTTCTCAGTGTAGTTTTCATTTCTTTTAAGTTCTCTGGCCTTCTTTAAGTATTTCATCTTCTCTAAGATGGGCAATGCCCTTCTGGCAATGCCCATCAACACAGCCTTTACCAGGTTTGTAAGGAAAGGTTTCCAAAAGTATAAAAATCTTCGCAACCAGACCATAGTGAGCTTGAACATATGTTGAAGAACTGGAAATGTGCCAGCAGGGGTGGAGCTGACTGGTACAGGAGGTGGGAGTTTCGCCATTCCAGGTCCAAAGGGATAGCAACTATTGACAAGAATGTTTGGGGGTTTAAAGGGTGAGGTGAATTGGCTGGCCACAGTACACGGAGGCATTTTAAATCTGAAAAGAAGCAATCAATGATGGAATTTAGAGAAAGAATATGCAAGTTGAAACTCAAGATTCTTGAACCGTAATAAACTACAAGTCCTTGAGTTATGACTGTATGAGGCCAACATTTCTGTGGCCAAACAAGACAGTTAAATGAGTTGTGCCCCATTTTACCATTATTTTTGCCACAGTTAAGTGAATCGCTGTAGCTGTTAAGTGAATCAAATTGGCTGTTAAGTGAATATGACTTTCAGCATTGACTTTACTTGTCGGAGGCCAGCCGGAAAGGTTACAGATGACCCCCAGAATAGAACAGAATATAATTCTTTATTGGCCAACTGTGATTGGACACACAAGGACTTTATGCAAATGCTCTCAGTGTACATAAAAGATACATTTGTCAAGTCAAGAATCATCAGGTACAACACTTAATGATAGTCATAGGGTACAATAAGCCATCAAATCATAGCACAACTATCATATATACATGCCAGTTGCCAAGCGCCCAAATTTTGATTATGTGACCACAGGGATGCTGCAAGTCATAAAGGTGAAAAGCAGTCATAAATCACTTTTTACAGTAACGTTGTAACTTCAAGTGGTCACTAAATGGTTGAGGACTAGCTGTATTTTACACGAGGTTACATCAGTACATTGTCTAGCACTGTCCTTTGTCTCATATGGAGCTCTTTTCCATCCTCTGCTATCTAAACCTTTTTTTAACAATATAGCTCTTTAGGATTGAACTCCACTATTCACATATAGTTCTACTAAGCATTTTACTATAATAGTTTATTTTTATGCAGGAAACCATGACAACTTTAAGATGTGTGGATTTTAAGCATGGCTGGCTGAGGAATTTTGGGCGTTGAAATCCACACATCTTTAAAGTTGCTATGGTTGTACTACACACACACACACACACACACTAAACTATCAAACACTTTAGTAGTATTTTTTATTTTTATGCAGGAAACAATAAAAATGAGAAGAATGAAGCAATTTTTAAAAAAACATGGAAATACTAATTAAGATAAGTAATTATACTAGTCTGTTAAAAAATACACATTTTCTAAAGATTTTATGCAAACCTAGTAAGCAAAGGGGTCATGCTGTGATTGAAAATCAAGTCACAAGTAACTCACCTTATAAGCATTCATTTAATGATAGGCTTGGAAAAAGTGACTCATGATCTGTTGTCACAGTTATGACTGTCATACCATCTCTGTGACTGCAAGCATGGACCTTAGTAACCAAGTCACATTTACAACCTGTTGCAGCAGTCTGGCAGATGATTGCAATTTGTGACTTTTTTTTTTTGCTAATTTCTGGCAAAAAATACCAAAAATTGAGGACTATATTTAATTCTAGATATTTTGATCTATAACTCCCAGCACCCTTCAGCTGTAGCCAAGATTTCTGGACATTGCTATTCAAGAACATCTGAAAAACAAGTTTTCCACCATCTTTCTTAAACTGTTTTGGTTAAAACATTTTAAGAAAAAAAAACCTGGCATTCTGGCACGAATTTTTAATATGATAAAAAATGCATGATATTCTTTTACTGCAAAGTCTGCAAGAATATTTATTTATTCAGAGGGAAAACAATGCTTGCTTTATACTAAGTCATGCTTCTGGTATCAGATTCAAAAGCTGAACAACAAAGCCAGAGTAACAGAGTTGGAAAAGACCCTGGAGATCTTCCAGTCCAACTCAGGAAGGAAACCCTATATCATTTCAGACAAACGGCTGTACAATCTCTTGTTTAAAAACCTCCAATAAAACCTGAAAGAGAACAGGTTCTGGCATTTGGAAAATCACAACACCAGCATTCTTTGGAAAATCAAAGTGGAACAATTCCCTTCCAGGGCATCCTTGTTCCTTTGCTAATCCACTTTTTTCAGCAAAGGCCAAACTCAGAATAAGCTTTCGGGAACAAGAGCTGGCAAGTGAAGGCATGGAGAAGGGAAAAGGCTGGAAGACCACGTTCTTGCCTTGCTCCCAAATTCCAGCACAATACCTTCTGCCCCCTACCTGTAGGGCAGTTCACCTCCCAGCTTTCTTAGGGAAGGTGTCACCAGTTGAGGTGTGTAGGCTGAATTCAGGGTGCGCCCCAGACAAGTTGAAGCAAGTGCCCCTGGAACGCTGGCAACACCCCAGTCCGGAAGAAGAAAGGGGGGACGCGCGCACACATACACACACACAGTTCAGATGCTGAGCGTGCAGCTGCCGAGGAGAGAGGAGGAGATACAACCCTTCCGACCCACAACAGGTTAGATCTGGAAGTGGGAAGAGGAGGGGGGGAAGGGAATATATTTACAAAGGGAATCATCAATGTATGAGAAGCGACACGCATTACAAAAGAGCAGAAAAGTTTGTAAATGATTGTGGACTAGAATTCTTCTTGATGGTTGATTTGAATGATCAGAAGTTATCAGTGCAAACAGCTTGGGTTCTCTAGGACAAGAAGTGGGAAGATCGTCATGGAATGTAGAGGAATATTATGGAAAGAGGGAAGAGAATTGCAAGGTGGCTTTTCCTGAGGATATCTGGTTCCTTCTGAAAGAGGAGAGTAATGAGTGTTTCCTAAGAAGTATTTGGTGGACCACAAGCAGTAGCACTGGAAGGCCAGCAAGGGGGTGGTGATGAAATTGGAAGCTGAGTCAGGAAGAGGAGGCGGACTATTTTGAGGGTCCGTGACAGAGAAAGGGGAGGGAAGGGAGAGAGAGACAGAGAAAGGGGAGGGAAGGGAGAGAGAGACTCAAAAGCAGGCCTCCCAAAACTGGGCAACTTTAAGACTTGTAGACTTCAAGCTATGCTGGCTGGAGAATTCTGGGAGCTGAAGTCCACAAGTCTTAAAGTTGCCAAGTTTGGAGACCTCTGCTCAAGAGTCCATAAAAATCCCTACTCTATAGCAAAAACAAAACAAAACAAAAACAACCTGGAATATTCTTTGGATGAGGAGTCTTAACTAACCATTCTGGAGGGCACCAGGTTGGAGAAGCCATCCTAGACTTTGGAGAACCACAGAAAAAAACTTGAAAGATTAACCTTGCGGGACGCACAAGTCAGAGAAGAGAATGACATAGCAATGATATTTTGAAGGATCAGAGCAAAAGCGACAGCACTTTACAGTTGGGGGTTGGGAGGGCCGGAGAAGCAAAACCCAAGAACATCTAGGGCTTTGGGCCGGGGTCCAGAACCGAGGAAAGGAGACACCACGCTTGTGCCAACAGAGGGGAAAAACAGTTCCAAGAACCGCACGAAGCGAGAGGGAAGATTACCAACAATTAAAAAGGGTGGGTCGTTTGGGTGGATGCCTGGGAAGGCAACCGAGAGGGCGGAGGTGGCAAGGCTATCATAATGCCAAACCGGGACACCTGGCCCGAGTTCGGAGAACCAGGGCTTTTCTGAAAACAGGCGTTTCCTCCGGGAAGTGCCTTAAGCACGTGAGAAACAGAACACACGGGGTGGGGAGGCGGGGAGCCAGCCTGGAAACACGCATTTGCCGGGTATAAGCAGGAGAGCGACCGGGTGAGCCGGCCTCCTAATAGGCCAAGAGGTCCAGGAGACTAAGAGGCCAATACCTTAGGGGGCAGCATTTTGGGGTCTCCCACCCCTCCATCCCCAGGGGAGGAAAAAGGTCTAATAATTTTTAACCCTCTTACCTCTGGATTTTTAGCCAGAAACAAACTCGCTCCAACATGTATCCGCAGGATAAACACGAACAAGCGGCCTCATGGTAGGCTTTGCAAAACAGCAGCTCTTCTCTGTACGAACCATTTCGCCCTATCGAGAATGACCTTTGCTCTTTCTGTGCAGATTAGAATAGAATGTTTCAGAGGAAAGCGAAACCCGCAGGCACTTTATATAGACTCGTTCCGCAAGGATAACGTCACCGCACTGTGACGTTAGGACAGGGGGCGTGGCCAGAGCCTCAGTAGGAGAAAGACGTGACGGCTCTGCAAGGGGGAGGGGCGCGCGAAGGAAGTGGTGACGTCAGGGGAATGTTTTTGTGGCTGACGGCGGGGTGGGGGCGGGGGTAAGAGGGGCGGAAGGGTGGGGAGTTGGAATTTTACTGAATGCTTTCTATTTTCGTTTCTGGAATTTAAAATACGTTACTTGGAAAAACTCACTTTATTTTAAAATCAGCCACCGCCATTAAGAGAATAATGTTGAGAGACTCTAAGGCAGGGGTCTTTAAACTCGACAGCTTTAAGACTTGTGGACTTCAACTCCCAAAATTCCTCCTCCAGTCATGTTAGCTCAGGAATTCTGGAAGTTGGTCCACAAGTCTTAAACTTGCCAAGTTTGAAGACCCTTGGGCTAGAGAGATTCTCAGTCATCCTACTGCGCTACTACTGTTAGTCTTCTCATCACTCCTTATCACCCCTTCCCTCCCACTTATGACTGTATGTCACTTGTATCCTTATGATTTTTATTGACTGCTTCCTAGTATGATTTGCTTATTGTACTCTATGACTATCATTAAGTGTTGTACCTGATGATTCTTGACTCTTGATGTATGTATCTTTTCTTTTCTGTACACTGAGAGCGTTTGCACCAAGACAAATTCCTTGTGTGTCCAATCATACTTGGCCAATGAAAAATTCTATTCTGTTGTATCCAGATCGCAAAGGTGCTTTTTCAAGAGGCAACTAGACTTTCTTGGTTTCCTTTGAAGACAGCTTCTTGGATGAGTAGTGAAATGTCTTCAAAGAAAGCCAAGAAAGTCCAGTTGCCTCTTGAAAAAGCACCTTTGGATCAATATTATTTAGACTTTAGATAAAGTGCAAAGAAGAGCAGCTAAGATGATTAAAGGCCTAGAGACTAAAACATAGGATGAATGGTTGCAAGAATTGGGTAGTCTAGAAAAAAGAAAGATTAGGGGGGACATGATAACAGTATTCCAGTAATTGAGGGGCTGCCACAAAGAGGAGGGGTGAACTTATTTTCCAAAGCACAAGAAGCAATGGATGAAAACTAATCAAGGGAAGAAGCAATCTGAAATTAAGGAGAAACTTCCTAACAGTGAGGACAATCAACCAATAGAAAAGTTTGCCTTCAGAAGTTGTAGGTGCTTCATCTCTGGAGGTTGTTAAGATTAAACAGACACCTCTCTGAAATGGTCTCCTGCTTGAGTAGGGGGTTGGACTAGAAGACCTCCAAAGTCCCTTTCAGTTCTAGTCTACTATTATTATAACTCATATTAAATTGGATTTCTTGTTTGCGGAGGGAAGAGCTGCAGCTAACAAGGAGTTTGGGGTCTGAAAAATATAAAGGTTATTTCATCACCTGTGTGTGGATTTATTTACCAACATTTTGTCCTGCCTTTTTTTCAACAACTCACCATAGCTGCTCCTGGTCAGGTATTCCTTCACTTACAACAGTTCATTTAGTGACCCTTCAAAATTACAACGGCACTGAAAAAGGGACATGACCATTTTTCACATGGCCATTGTAGCATCCCCGTGGTCACATGATCAAAATTAAGATAATTGGCAACTGACTCATATTTATGACAGTTGCAGTGTCCTGAGGTCATATCATCACGTTTTGATACCTTTTTACAAGCAAATGGGAAAGCCAGATGCATATAACAATCACATTACTAACTTAACAACTGCAGTGATTCACTTAACAATTGTGGCAAGAAAGGACATAAAATGGGGCAATATGTACTTAACAAATGTTTCACATAGCAGCAACAGCAGAAATTTTGGGCTCAAATGCGGTTGTAAGTCGAGGACTATACTGTAATTCTTTCCTGCTTCCGCCTTTAATCAGGAGGCTATAGTAGGCAAATGGACAATGGGCATTTATGAAAGAATGCAATTCTTTTGCTGTCTTTTAACTTGATGTTGTATCAAAATAGCAAAGAAAACAGTAAACGGAGTCAAAAGGACTACAAATAGAACTACAAATAGAAAAGTCTATAACCTGGTCTTCCTACCTTTGATATGGCCACAGATATTTTACATGGGACAAAAAACATGGGACCTTTGTCCTGTTCAAATGCACACAAATCTACAATAAGAATAGAAGCAAAGTAAAGAAAAAACTTTTATTAACCTTTTTTTTCAAAGTTCTTTCCCATTTGGTAAGCAAGACAGGAAATAAAGGGTATTTTGGAGGAGAGAGATAAATTTTATACATACTATGGCACCATAGCAACTTTAATATGTGTGAATTTTAAGCATGGCTGGCTAAGGAATTCTGGGAGTTGAAGTCCACACATCTTAAAATTGCCATGGTTGTATTATGCATACACAAACACAATCATAAATACCACCCCCCACGCACACAAACACTAATATTCATGTTGTAATGAAGTGCAACAAGAAAAGGACACGAGGAGTTCATAAGGTTTTCTTGCATAATAGACTCTGACTACATTCATTTCTAAAATAGAAAGTATGGCTGCTCAGCTTTAAAACTTATTGTTAACAACCTTTGAGCAGTTCACTACTACTGTGCTACTGTATCCTTGATATTAAATGTCACCTCTTCTAGAAATGCATCATTTTACATTCTTCTGGTTTACCTCTGCAAAACAAGCCAAATTCACAGTCTATGTATCAGTCTTCTCCAACTTATGAATGAAGGCAAATATACTGTACATGTCCCAGGCAGAGGTGGGATTCTACAGGTTTGCACCTATTCACTAGAACCGGTTGTTAATATTCTAAGCAGGTTGTTAATATTCTAAGCAATTCGGAGAACCAGTTGTTAGAAGAAATTACTGGCCTAATCCTCTAAGGAAGGCAGGAAGGAAACATTCTGGTGTTGCTTACAGAAACTGCCTCTCTATTAACCCTTATTACATTCTTGGCAGGACTAGACTTCCTGTCTCAGGAACATCTCTGGAGTTTTTTTTCCTTCCTTTGCTGGTACTTTGCTTGTGTGGAGTGATCATTCAAAGTTACAATGGTACTGAAAAAAGGTGACATGACTATTTTTCACACTTCGATTTATGACCACAACTGAGCCCAACATTTGATAGACAAGCAGGTGTTAAATGAGTTTATTTTGCAGTGGTGGGATTCAAATTTTTTTACTACCAGTTCTGTGGGCGTGGCTTGGTGGGTGTGGCAGGGGAAGGTTACTACAAAATCCCCATTCCCTCCCCACCCCACTGACCTGCTTTCCAGCTCCATTCTCCTGTGCAGGGCAACCAAAGAAGACCCAGCCGATTAGCTGGGACTCGGGAGGCAGAGAATAGATGGGGCCAGGGGCCAGTCAGAGGTGGTATTTGCCGATTCTCTGAACTACTCAAAATTTCCACTACCGGTTCTCCAGAACTGGTCAGAACCTGCTGAATACCACCTCTGTTCTTTTGCCTCATTTTATGACTTTTTTTTTGCCACAGTTGTTAAGCCACTCACTACACTTGTTAAGTGAATCATGTGGTTGTGAATCTGCCTTCCCCAATTGACTTTGCTTGCTTTCATCAAGATCCCAGCAGCAATGTAAACTTATGGACATAAAGTACAGATAGTCCTTGACTTACAACGGTTCATTTAGTAGTGACTGCTTGATGTTACAATGGCACTGAAAAAGGGGACTTATGATTGTTTTTCACACTTACAACCTTTGCAGCATCCCCATGGTTTGATCCCCATGATCAAAATTCAGGCACTTGGCGACTGATTCACATTTATGACGGTTGAAGTTTCCCAGAGTCACATGATCCCCTTTTGCAACTTGCTGACAAGTAAAGTCAAGGGGAAGCTAGTTCACTTAACAACCATGTTACTAACTGAACAACTGTAGTAATTCACTTAACAACTGTGGCAAAGAATGTCATAAAATGGGGCAAAGTTCACTTAACAAATGTCTCTTAGCAACAGAAATTTTGGGCTCAATTGTGATCATAAGTACCTGTATTGCCAAGATTCATTTCTTAATCACTTTAGGAAACTTATTCATTGCTTTTCAACTATTAAGACAATCACTTTTATAACATGCACTGGCTGAGATTCCTTTAAACCTTAGTGAATTTAGAAACGAAACATTTATGGCCCCAAAATACCTCTTTTGGGATAAACAAAAAAAAGATGATTAAAATATTGATTTTGGAAATTTATATTTGGACTAAGGATCTAGATGGAATTTTGAAATTAATAAAAAAATATATAAAAAATTAAAGGCTCTTTTTTCTAGGAACATACTTTTGCTTTAAACTATTAAAACATGGTAAAATGAGAATTTGAAAATCGGACAATACAGGGAACTAGCAGAAATTAAAGATTACAATTAGAGGAAAAGTGCACTTAAATTGGACTTACCAATGCAAAATGGAGCAAAATATTTTAACATTGGATGTATTGTAAAATATTGGTGACCAATGGAAATTAATCTTAAAAGTGTCTACCATTATTGGTAGACTATTTTTAAAATAGAGTATTGAAGACGACCATGTTTTTTTGGACAAGACTGAGACTAATCTGTATGTGGGTTTAAAAATGGATTTAAGAAGAAGAATGACATGGAGAAAGTTGTTAGACTGGATATACCAGAAGATGCTTTAATAATGAAAAACAAGTCATTTTTTTCTCTCAGCCCAACCTACTCAGTCCACTTCACAAGGTTGTTGTTATTGTGGAGGAATATAGGGGGAGGAAAAATTATAAAGTAACAAAGATAGACTTAAATAAATAAATAAATATTCAAATGGCAAATCAAAAGAAGGACTTTGTTCTAAATTGGACATACAAAGGACATCTGTTAAAGTTCTGAAAGATTTTATTAGAAGGGACAAAGAAAATGAAAACAAGTTCTAGGACATTATTTGAAGGGATTAAAGATCAACAGTTTTAAAAGTCAAAGGAAAAAATATGGTTTTAGTGTATTTGTTCAAAGTTAAAATAGATATGATTTAT